TTTCATTTACTTCCCTCTACACGAGCAAGTGGTGTTTTAAAAGGAGAGGCAACGAGAATATTACATACACGGAGGAAAGGAAAAGAGGGAAGGAGAAAGGGGGATGTTGTGAGTCCGGTGGGTGCCACAGTAGTTATAATATTTTTCAAGACGTTCTAAGGGGTAGGGGATCACCTAGCGGTGGGAACTGAAAAAGCTTCTAAGAAGTTTTAGATTCTTTTTCTAGTGCTTCAGTTCATATCACTGAGTGTCCATATGGTGTTTGTAATCAACTCAAAACATACCAAGATGTTGAATATATATTTTTGCAATAAAATTTATTTAAATCATACTCATGTTGAAAATGTAATATGTACCCTCAAGCTTCTCTTTATTAGAGAGAAGAAATCCCTTTACGATAAGCAACTTTGGAGAGGCTATGAAGAGAAGCCCTGAGAAGCTGTTGGAAGGAAGGTATATTCATGTGGCCATTATGGGACCCTTTTTTTTTAGATTTATTTATTTATTTAACAAAATTATTTATTTTTATACAAGAACTGGGGGTAGGCCTCCCATGGTGGCGCAGTGGTTGAGTGCTGGCCTGTGAAGCTGCCCGCAGCCTCTGCAGAGCCGGTTCTATCCCCGGCCACCGGCGAAGGTCCCACATGGCACGACAGACCTCTTCTGCCGTGCCCGCTGCTCCCCTCAGCAGTGTATTTCGTCAGTCTGCCTGCTCTGTTCCCTCTGGCTCTGGTGAATTCTCTCACCCTCCTGCGCTTCTGACTGTACCCATTGCTTGTATAAATAAATAAATAAGTCTTCAAAAAAAAAAAAAAAAAAAAAAGGAACTGGGGGGGACAGGCCAGAGGCGCGGGAGGGTGAGAGGATTCACCAGAGAGAGTGGGAAGCAGAGCAGGCAGACTGACTGAACCACACTGCTGAGGGGAGCAGCGGGCAAGACAGGAGAGGTCTGCCCCGACATATAGGTATCTCTTTGGCTGCGGGGATTGAATCAGTGCTGCATAGGCTGCAGACAGCTTCACACCGCTGCACTCAACCACCTGTGCCACCAGGGAGGCCCTCATGTGGCCATTATGAAAAATAGTGTGGAGAGTCCTCAAAAAATTGAAACTAGAAATTCCATAAAAGCCACTTATCCCATTTCTGGATATTTACTTGAGAAACATATAAATGCTAATTCAAAGAGAAACGCATGTATACCCACATTTATTGTAGCATTATTCACAATAGCCAAGATATTGAAACAACCTCAGTGCCCAACAGGAGGTGAATGGATAAAGAAGATGTGCTTCATAGACACAATGGAATATTACTTGGCTATCAAAAGGATGAAATCCTGCCACTTGTAAAAATGTGGATATACCTAAAGAATATTATCTACAGTGAAACAGATCATATGATTACACTCATCTATGGTACATAAAGGAAAAAAGCAAATGAATGAACTAAATGAAACAAAAAATAAAAAAGATGGTGCATGGGTGCCTTGGGGAAGGAAATTCTTTGGGGACTCAATCTGAGGGGGTGGTGGGAAGCAAATATTATCTAAAAAATATGAAAAATGATCAATGTTAAAATAAAAAAATAGAAAAAAAAATAAATGAAGATATTTTCAGACAAAAAAAAAAAAAGATGAAATTAGTGATGACCAGAAGGGAAGGCGGAAGGGGGCAAGTATATCAGGGATGGTGGAAGATGGAATTAGATTTTTATTTATTTATTTTTTAGAAGATTTATTTATTCATGCATACAAGAACTGAGGTGTAGGCCAGAGGTGCGGGGGGTCAGTGGACAAACCAGAGACAGAGAGGGAAGCAGAACAGGTAGATCTATGGAAATACACTGCTGATGGGCAGCTGCGGGGATATTTACTTGAGATATCTGCCACACCAGGTGGTTAGCTTCCTGACTGGGGATTGAACTGGTGCCACAGTGGCTGGCGATAGCTTGAGAGCACTGTCTTTAACCCTTGCATCATCAGGGAGGTCCCACTACTTTTAGTAGTGACCTTAACGCCATACATACAGATGTGGATTTATAAGTCTGTAACTTGAAAACTGTAATGCCATAAACCAATGTTAGTTTAATAAAATATTTTTAAATCCCATAGTATCAAACTTGAAAGATGGTTTATTTTCCAAAGAATGTGCTAACTTCATGGCTCTTTAGTTAAGAGAAATCTAGAGCTACATATAACAGGCATGAAAGCATGGTCCTGCTGTTATAGGCCAACCCCGAAACGGGTTGCCTGGCTGTGGGTCCTCACCCGCGCGCTTTAAAGGGACTTATTAATACTCCACTACAGGCACACACAAAAGGTTAATAAAAGGTTTATTTACAAGGGAAAAGGAAATAAGGAAAATGTACAACTCAGGGAGAAAATAGGAAAATAAAGTCTTAAATGCGTCCTACCCGATCCGCTGACCTGGAAACCCAAAGTCACTCTCAGAGCTGGCCGGATGCTGCCAGCTGGCGGAGAGCCAAAATGGGGGTCCCCCAAGCCCACATGTCTGCCTTTTATATCAACCTGGCTGCTTAACCCCACCCTCAGGTCCCAGCCACCTTCCCTTTGGTGGTGATGGGATTTGAAGTTCCCAGTGTCTTTGGCTTTGGCCTGGGGTCGGGTGGAGTCCACAAAGACTGTATGGAATTAGCTTTAGGACATCCTTTTCCCCCTAGCACTATCTATGTGAACACCTGGGCCTAAAACCCCAGCTTCAGCAAAATCATTATGATTTTCTGAGGTTCCATCTACAAAACAGAAGCTTCTGAAGCAATCAGAAGACCAAGCCAGATTTCTCACTTGTCAAAATTAATAAATCATGTGCATATGACATCTTTTATTTAATTTGGGTTCTCTCAAAATCAGACACAAAGAAAGGTGTGGAAGCAAGTAGTTGATCTGGGTGATAATTCCAGGAAGCCAAGTAGGGAGCAGGGAGAGTGAGATGGGAAAGGAGGAAAAGTCAGTGGAAGATGCCACATCACAGTGGGTGGCGTGCTTGGTCCTTCTGGTGTCTCTCAGCAGCACCTGAGTGAAGGATGCAAGTTTACTCTGAATTCTGACCCCATTCATTCAGGATTGCCCTGGAAGCCTCAACTTCTTCCCCCCACTTCTCAGTCTTTGCAAAATACCTCCAGGTATTTTGCATATTGTACCTCCTCTTTGTTGCAAATGGCTGGATCTCATCTTTTTCATAGCTAAGTAGCATTCCTGTGTGTTTCTGTATGTCAATAAATTATCAATAAACAGGACTAAAAAGAAACTTTCTCAGTCTGATAAACACAAGCAGCCATCATTATATTTGTGGTAGTGAAGGAGTGAATGCTTTCCCCTAATATTGGAAAGACCCTGTTATTGTATCTATTCAATGTTATACTTGAAGTGCTAAGCAGTGGAACAAAGGAAGAAGAATAAATAGAAAGCATATGGAATGGAAAGAAACCATGTTGATTCAGATAACATTTAGAAAATACTAATGAAGCTACAAACAAGCTACTAAAGCTGTAAAGAGATCTTGGGTTAAATTATGTCCCTTTGTAACAGGGTGGTCCCCCGGAAAGGGGGAGGTTCCCTGCCCCACCCAAGGGAGGGTGGAGCTGAGCAGGAAGAGGAGAAGCGGCAGAAGAGACTGAGGAAGGAAGCAGAATGGAGCCAGGAGACCTGGAGGAGGCGCATGGAGCCTAGAGACACGTGAAGAAACTGCGCAGCGCTTGTCTTTTGGTCGTGGACTGGGTGACACAGATGTGGGTGAGACCCGTGGGGAGGTGACAATGGCAGTTTTTATCTTGATGTTGATTTTGCTCTTTTCCTTCCGGGCTTGTCCGGTTGTTTGTGACCCTTTTCTGTGGGTCCCCACTGGAAGATGCTTTAGACTTGTAACAGGCTTTGGGGCCTTGTTCTGGGCCGATCCCATATGGATGGACTTTTACCCACGAGGGGACGGGTAAGTTTGGGTGCTTCATTTAGAAACTAGATTCTTTGCCTTACCTGTATTGTTTCCTAGTTTTATTAAAGTTCCTTCCCATTAAAGTCTCCTATGTTTTGTATTGATGCGGCGGATGGCAGAACCCATTTAGAATAGGCAGGTTTGCAGGGTTTGGGCTGCCCCTCCCCCTGTCCTATAACACCTTTACCCTCTCCCCAACAATCACCTGATTCCCTGTTCAAGACATGCTGCACTTCTTTATTGCTTTTATTTACGCATAGAAGAACTGGGGTGTAGGTCAGAGGAGGGGGTGAGAGGACTCACCAGAGACAGAACGGGGAGCAGAACAGGTGGATCTACTGAAATACACTGCCGAGGGGAACAGTGAGGAGACCAGAGAGGTCTGCCGCACCGTGTAGGACTCTCCCTGGCCAGCTGGGGATCGAACCTGCACCGCTGAGGGTGCGGACAGCTTCACAGCGCCGCGCTAAACCCGTTGCGCCACTGGGGAGGCCCCTACACCCTATTTTGAAGATTCTTCTGGTTACAAAGTCCTCTCCTGGAGTTCCCGCTAACAGGGGCTCGAGAGCCCTCTGCACACTGCGGTCCCTGCCCCGCTGGCCGCTGCTAGGAGGGGCAGCTGGCAGTCCTAGATTCACTCAAGTTGCTTCGCTTCCGTGCGCCACGGTCAACTTTTAAACGCGAATTCTTGGCCCTCAGGATCGTTCAGCGAGACCCCGGTGCAGAAGCCCCGCAGGGCTGCGCCAGACGTCTGGGTCCCGGCGGCGGGCGGGGGTGGCCCGGCGGCCCCTGGCGCTAGGCCGCGCCCTGACGGCGAGCGGGGCCGCCGGGCGGAAGCACGTGGTCGGCGCCGCCACCAAACACTGCGCTCCCGGCGCCGCGCCCGGAGGGGCCTGGATTTTTAAATCTATCCGGAAGGACCAATCAGGGGCGGCCTGTCGGAGTCGGCGGAAGCGGATTGGCTCGAAGCCGCTCCCCGGGGCCAATCGGCTAGGAGACAAGGGTGGGGGCCGGAAGCGGGCGAATAGAAACGGACGGCGGCGGCGGCGGGCGGTTTGACTGGACTGAGGCTGCGGAGGCTGCTCGGAGCCGGCCGGGCCACCGCCCTTCCCCCGCCCGCGAGGTGAGCGCCCTGCGCGGCCCGGCCTCTGAGGGACCCCGGCCGGGTGCGGGGGATCGCGCTCCGGGCCCCGCACCCGAGCCCGCCGCCGTCGGGGGTCTGCCCAGAAGGAGGGGGCGGCGCCCCGGGCCGGGAAAACCCGGAGCCCCTGACTCGGTCGTGCCTATCCGGGCCCGCGGGGGACCCGGCAGCCCGGCGCCCCCGCCTGGAGCCTCGGCGGAGACGCTGCCCCGCCCTGGGGACGCGCCCTGTCCTCGAGCCCAGGGCCCGGTTTCGCGTGGGGCGGGGTGCTGAGGTAGGGGCAGCGGGGATACCGTGCCTGAGGGGGGTCCCGGGCAGTTCCCCGGGCTCCTGGCGGCGGGAGATTCGGGCAGGAGGGGCCGAAGAGTGGCCTCGGGGTAGCTGAATAGGAAGCCCTGTCTGCGAGGGACGGCGGCCCTGCCCAGCCTCCCGACACCCCGGGCTTTTCCTCACCGCCCCTCCATCTCACCTCCCCCCCCCTTTGTTTTGCTTACATCTTAACTTTTGAGATGTTTGTGTTTGTGTCCTTTTGCCCAGAGGCGCCGTACAGACTGCTGGGGAGGACACCGTCGTCTGTTAAGGCCCCTAATCCCAAGGAGCCTGGGCCGGGGGCGGGGGGGGGGGGGCTTCGGAGGGTGGTCAGGGGTGCGAGGGAAGGGCCCGTCTTTGTCCACTCCATCGCTGTCCTCTCTCTGAACGGCTCTCCTATATTTTGTTGGCTTTGGTGTCTTGACGTGACAGCTGTACCCACGCCTGGAGGAGCGGGCGCCTGCTTGGCTGTGCATGGCCTGTGGTGAGCTCGTGCGATGCTGGCATTTCAGTAGTTTTGGGGCAAATGAGCGTGCATTTGAGGTGCTGTGTTAAATAAACAGGCTTTTGGGGCAGGGGAGAGGAATTAAACCCACAGGAAAAACAGCTTTCCAAGGCCTTTGACATGTATGTTATGTGTTTTCCAAGACCTTTGGGTCTCTTTTTTAATTCTTGGAAACCTTTTTATTGTTTTCATTAATTTTATCAGCAATTGACTGTGACGGAAAAAAATTTCATGAGTGAAGTCAATGTAAACAAAATGCTATATGCGTCTCTGGCCTGTACCCCAGCTCTTGTATGCATAAGTGAATGAAAATCTTAAAAAAAAAAAAAAACAAAAAAACCCAAAACCCTAAAATGGTTGTGGATTTCATGTAATAAAAAACAGATTTTCACCTTGTTGCCGAAATAACTGGAAAATGAATGCTTTTTCTCTCATTTCAGCTCTAAGACACTTTAGCAGTGAATATAGAACAATTGCTAGACTTTCCGGACTAGCTTACATTTCTTTAAGATGAGGCTGTGAAGGAAGGTTATCCCTTCATACCCCTTACTGCTTTGTAGCATTGGCCCAAACACAAATGCAAGTGTTGGCAAGGTCTGATAGGACAGTGGACACAACAGAAGCTTACCCGGTGACTCTGTTCTGAGGCTTTAGAAGGTGCCAGCAGGATGATCATCATTTTACAAAGGAGGACACCAAGGCAGAGAGCAGTTAAATAGCATGTCCAGGCTGGTCAAGCTGGAATTTGAATCATTAAGGTTTTCTTTTCTTTTTTAAAGATTTATTTACTTATGCATACAAGCACTGGGATACGGGCTTGTATGAGAGAGGTGCCGGTGGGGGAGGAGGTGAGAGGATTTACCAGAGACAGAATGGAGAACAGAACAGGCGGATTGACTGAAATCCACTGCTGAGGGGAGCAGCTGGTGAGTCAGGAGAGGTCTGCTGCACCATGTGGGTAGCTCCCTGGCCGGGGATCAAACTTGTGCTGCAGAGGCTGCGTGCTGTGCTTAACCCCTTTGTGCCACCAGGGAGGACCTGAATCACTTAAGGTTTTCATGCTTGTTCCTAGTTGTGGTCTGTCCGGAGCTTACCATTACCTAATTCCATCCCAGTGGGGCGCTCACTCTTTGTTCTTTTCAGCATCAGTTTATCCAGTGGGAACCTCCTGGAGGGAGGGGAGGGAGAAGCGGTGCCCTGAGACTGGAACCAGGTTGTGGGTCTCAGGGAAAAGCTTCCTAGATGGACCCCATGTGAGTGGGAAAAGAAGAGCATTTGCAAAATAACTTGTCCTGCGTCTTATTTGCTTCTAGGACCTACTTCCCCTGGAAACTTTTAGCAAAATACTCATGTTTGGTAGCATGACACAAACTGAGCCTAGAAAGCAGGTAGCCATGGAAGGGGAAGCCCTTCACAATCAGGGAGTGCACTTAAGCCACCTCAGAGGGATGGAGGCGGCATCATATACCTCATCTTTTGAGATGTACTTTGCCCAGCGGGGTCTTCCAGGCGGCTGTGTAGATTCATTAGTATCTGACTGGACTTTCCTCTATGCTAAGACCAGTGGTGTGCTTATTCTTTTCAGCTTTATACATGTTTGAATAAAACAGGAGTGCAAAATGAGCTGGGCTTTGGAAGAATGGAAGGAAGGCCTGCCCACAAGGGCGCTGCAGAAAATTCAAGAGCTCGAAGGACAGCTGGACAAGCTGAAGAAAGAAAGGCAGCAGAGGCAGTTTCAGCTCGAGACCCTGGAAGCTGCGCTGCAGAAGCAGAAGCAAAAGGTATGACTGGGACCTGGGTGCTCGGCGAGGTACTGCAACACTGGGCATGATTTTTTTTTTTTTTTATTTTAAAGATTTTATTTATTTATACAAGAATCGGGTACAGGCCAGATATGCGGGAGGGTAAAAGGATTCACCAGAGACAGAGTGGGGAACAGAACAGGCAGATTGACTGAAATACACTGCTGAGGGGAGCAGTGGGCAAGATAGGAGGGGTTTGCTGCGCCATGTGGGATTCTCTCTGGCTGGCTGGGATCGAACCAGTGCTGCAGAGGCTGTGGGCAGCTTCACAGTGTGGCGCTCAGCTGCCTGTGCCACCAGGGAGGCTCAACCCTGGGCATGATTTAGGTAACAGGTTCAACCCTCTTCGTAGTGTGTCGCCACACCTTGCCCATCCCAGCCATCCCAGAGCACCCACAGCCCTCCACCACAGTCTACTGGGCTCCCTCCCTATGGGACTCCGCCCTTCCCCTCTGGTAACCTGGGTTCTACCGCAGGCTCCAAGGGTTTGCTTTGATTTGGCTTTGCCTCCTCCTTTGTGTCTTTATATTTTGCATAGGGGCAGAACCATTCAGCATTCATTGTTCTTCTTGTGACTTAGTTTGCTTAGCTTCATCCCCTCCAATTCTATCCTTGTGGCTGCAGATGGAAAGATCTCATCCCTTAACAGCTAACAACTTGCTCCAGGTTCTTTGCACGGACACTCTGCCCAAAGCAAGGAGGGAAGAAAGTTCCTCTCTGCCCTCGCTCTGGCTGTGGGCCTCTCAGATTTCTGTGTTCATGGTGCACTGGCAAGCAGGTTATAGCAGCCCTGACTCAGAAAAATAGTCCTCAGGTTTTGGAATACTTCTTGGCCAGTTCATGAAGTGAGAGACTGGTTTCCCCCCGCCTGGTCCTGTTAGGTGGAGAATGAGAAAACCGAGGGGATAAACCTGAAGAGGGAGAACCAAAGCTTGATGGAGATATGTGAGAATCTGGAGAAGACGAAGCAGAAGATTGCTCATGACCTTCAGGTCAAGGAATCCCAAGTGAATTTCCAGGGAGGACAACTGAACTCGAGCAAAAAACAAATAGAGAAACTGGAGCAAGAGCTGAAGAGGTAAATTTTGTTGGGATGGGATGGGTAGGGGTGTGGCTCGTGTGTATTTATTAGCTGCTTTTCTCTTTTACTCTTACAATCTGATCATCACACATTACAGTAGGGAAGTTAGTGATGATTTGAGGAAAGTGAATCTGTTCAGTTATGCCTGGCGCTTGTGCAGGCACATGCCTATCCACTGCTTATTAAACAGCTCCACGTGCCCGGCACTGTGCTGGTCACTGGCTTCTCAACGATAAGTAATGCCAGGCTGGCTGCAGTGCGTTCTGAAATGATGGAGGAAGTTAAATGTGGCTTGTGCCCATGCTCTGTTGCAGAGAATGAGAGAGAGAGACTCAGGAATTATGTAAGGACCCAGGAGCATGTGGGCTCCGGTTAGGTTGGAGACCAGGATGATCTAGTAGGGCCAGTCTCTAGGGTTATATGGATTTACTGTTTCATCTTCTGGATGTAAATGCTGAAAAGGTCATCAGGAGGCTTCATGCTTGATTTTTGCCAGGGTCATGGGGCAGAAGACGGTGGAATAATTGGGGGTACTGAGGAGAGAATGATGGGATCTTATGCTGTGAGGCCAGGCTGGAGCGCGAGAAAGTGAAGGCCTGCGGGGGTCCCTGCTGACATTCTCTCTTCCATCTTCAGCATCACAGAACCATGCCTGTTTTAGTTGACATAGTCTTGTTTATGAGGTCTATTGAGATGCTTATGAAACTTTATAAATGATGTGAGCTTGAGACTGTAAAGACTTGAGCATAGTTGTCTATAAAAACTGTAAATTACAAAATGGTTGCTTGTAGTTTTTGAGTCCTCGTCAGAGCCTCCAAGGCAGGAGCTTCGTTTCCTTTGGCGGCCACTGATCAGGTTTCAGGAAGGTCCTGGGCGGGTCAAGTTGTTGATCAGAAGCTGCTGAGTCTTGGCAAACTCGTTGATTAAACCTAGTAGAGAGCAGTTTTTCCATGCTTTCTGTGTTGTGCTGCTTAGGAGAAACTGAAGATCTAGAGAATAGCAGTCTGGTAAACCTTAGCAGTTGATAAGCTTTTATTTTTATTTATTTATTTTTTTTTTAAGAAAAGGGTAGGGGAAGGGGTTGGATGTGAATCTGAACAGGGACCCAGTCCTGCTTTTGCAAGGCTGTTCCAGATTGATCCCTGGAGTCAGCAGTCTGTCCCGCCTCGGGCTCTTGACCTGTGCGGCCCAGTAGGGTGACTGCTGGCTGCATGTGGCTTCTGAGCCCTTGAAGGGAGGCCACTGCAAATGGAGATGTGCTTGATCTTGAGAAAGTGGTCCAGGTTCTGATGATGGAGCACCGAGAAATGCGCAACAGCATTTTGGTGATTTTTGTACGACAATGATTTGGTATAATATAATAACTTTTATTTATAAATGGAAATGATAGTTTTTTTGAAACACTGGGTTTCATCTGCAGATGAAACTCACTTATTTCTTCTTCTGTCATGTTACGGAGACACTTGTGTTGGACGGTGCTGTCACTCCTGCCGCCAGCCTGACCGGTGATCTGATTCGCTGGGCAATATTTCTGGCTTGTCCTCTGCTCCTTCTCTCCCGGGCACAGATCTTGTTTTGAGCTGTGTGTCTGTGGCAGAACTCGGTCTTGTCATTAGCTATCCTGACAGGCATCCCTTTAGTTTCTGTGCTAAATGAAAATCAGAGACAGCAGGGAGGGGCAAGAATTGAGTCCTTTTTTAAGCTCAGAACACATGTGGCAGCGATACTTGTGCATGCACATGGCATTTAATCCCCTGTCTCTGCTTTTTTGTTTCCAATCCCCTCTTTTCTAGATGCGTTGTTACACCCTGACTTTATAGCTGTTTCAGAAATGTCGTGTAATACATGGTGTGTCAGTTTACTTTTTATAGTGACTTAATATCGTGGTATCGTCATACATACTCACAATTACAGCAGATGCTTCATCAACACACATTTATCCCATGTTTTTGAAATTCTAGATTCTTTTATGTCTCTGTGTCTTTCTGTGCTCCACACATTAAAAATCTCTTGGAATGTATCCCTAACTCCCAGCTCTTCTTTGCTAATGTGATTTTTAAAGATCTTTATTAGAGCCCTTATAACATGGTAAATATTGATGTACACATTTTTTTCCCTAACTTGGTTGAACTCCTTTGAAGATGGAGCTGAATTCACCTGTCACTTAAGTTACTTCTTATTAAATGTCTTGGAAGGATGACATGGTAAGAACTCTTAGGGTGGCTTTATTACTCTCTGGGGAGCTGGTATTGGTATTTGGTAGTTTTTGCTCTGATTTGGTCTTCTCTTTCCTAACAGGTGTAAATCTGAACTTGAAAGAAGCCAACAGGCTGTCCACTCTGCAGATATCTCGCTGAATCCTTGCAGTACACCCCAAAAAATGTTTGCAACCTCACTAACGCCAAGTCACTATTATAGTGGTAAGGGTTTCCCACTTGGTTTAAATAGCTCTGAGATTTTTATTCTGCTAAACCTTGAATTAATCCAACTTTGAATTTAGTTCTCTTTTGGGTTGTTAAAAAAACGTCACCACCTGTAACCCAGGCATTTGTATGTCTGTGGAGCCAGGTTCTGCTGCCAGGTTAAGCCTTTAAATTTTTGACATCGCCTTCTGTGGTGTGTTTTAAAATAATGCAGCTGCAGAATCCTCAGAGTACCTGCATTTCCGTGTGTTTTGATGGCTGAGTCATTTGGTCCATATCTGTTGCCCTAAACAAAATGTTCTATTTGTTGCACCAAGATACTTCCTTCACACAATCAATGATGGAAGTAAAATCGTATTTCCCTGCCTGTGTTCAGGTTCCAAATATGAAGATCTGAAAGAAAAATATGACAAAGAAGTGGAAGAACGAAAAAAACTAGAGGCAGAAGTGAAAGTCTTGCAGGCTAAAGTAAGTTTACTGTGAACCTTGGACTAGAACATGCAGTGGACAGAGGTCTGCCAGGGGAGGCTAGAATACGATGGGAGGAGAATCTGCTTTAAACAGGACTGACACATTTTCCTTCCACTGGTAAAAGAACGTTATGATTATTTTTTGGTTTTACAAATAAGTTGGATTGAGTAGATAGAGTAGCACAGTTGGTTTATCCCCAAACATTAAGTGTTCGTTGAATCCCTCAGCCATGCCATTATTCCCCCGCTAAGGGTAATGATGAGAACAGGTAGGGAGAAGGCAAGGAGAATCTCTTTGCCCCCTTCTTGTTCTCTGTCCTGTTAACAGTGTCACGGGCTCTAATGACTGTTATTTAGGAGATTTTTATTTCAGAGGAGAACATTATCAGTATCCTCTCCCAGTTCTTGCAAATAAGCTGCTGACAAGGGTTTAAACTCCTTTTTGTTCTGGGTAAACAAGCAGAGAGAGGTGGGTAAAGAGAATAAAAGTCAATAACAGAGACAGAATGTAGGGCTAGAACCATCTTCTAGTTCAGGGACTGGCACTGGAAACCCCTGGTGCCTGCAGATGTAACTTCTCCCGTCTCTTACAGTTATTTGCTTAAGCAAACAAAGCTCCCAAAACATCCCAATTTGACACAGAATTGGTGCATTTTTTTTTTTAAGATTTATTTATTTATATAAGAATCGGGGTCCAGGCCCGGAGGAGGGTGAGAGGATTCACCAAAGACAGAACAGGAACAGAACAGGCAGACTGATGAAATACACTGCTGAGGGGAGCAGCAGGCGAGACAGGAGAGGTCTGCTTCGCCATGTGGGGCCCTTGCCGGCTGGCCGGGAACAAACCAGTGCTGCAGAGCCTGTGGACAGCTTCATAGTGCGGCGCTCAACTGCCTGCACCACCAGGGGAGGCCCTGGTGCATTTTTTTTTTAAGATTTATTCATTCCTGTATACAAGAGCTGGGGTGCAGGCCAGAGATGTGGGGGGTCAGGGGATTCACCAGAGACAGAGCTGGGATCAGAACAGGCAGACTGAGAGAAATACACTGCTGAGGGGATCAGCGGGGAGACAGGAGAGGTCTGCCGCGCCATGGCGCCATGTGGGCTGCTCCCTGGCCGGCCAGGGATAGAATGCCTGCTACAGAGGCTGTGGACTGCTTCACAGTGCGGCGCCCAATCCCCTGCGCCACCAGGGAGGCCCAGAAATGATGCATTTTTGCTAAACATAAGATGTTTATGAAGTGGCATAATTCAGCAAGCAGCATCATTGTGCTTCATCCTCCAGCTCAGTCTTGGGCGTCAGCTCTGCCCCTGACATTGATTCCTTGAGTCATTTTGTGGAGAAATGTGAGCTTCCATAAAATTTAAGCCTTCCATGCCTCCTCGGTGGCGCAGCGGTTGAGCGCTGGGTTGCAAAGCGGCCGGCAACCTCTGCAGTGCTGGTTCGATCCCCGGCCACCGGGCAAGGGTCCCATATGGTGCGCAGACCTCTCCTGCCGCCCGCTGCGCCCCTCAGCAGTATACTTCGTCAGTCTGCCTGTTCTCTCCGCTCTGGCTCCGGTGAATTCTCTCACCCTACCGCGCTTCTGACTGTACCCAGTGCTTGTATAAATAAATAAATAAATCTTAAAAAACAAAACAAAACACCTTCCCTGTGGCTACAAAAAATAAAACACAGTGCCCGCACCCAGAGATTTGTCAGAATAGAGGCAGAGAGTTCGAAAGAGAAACTCAAATCTATGAAAAATTCATAGGCGTGTATTATATAACACAGATATTTTGGGGGAGTGGCATTGTGGGAAGTGATATTCTTTGAAAGTTCTTTCTTTTGGGGTCCTATTTAACTTTCATTTTCTTTGTGCAAAACTATAAGGACAAAGGGAAACCAATTTCAGAATTAAGCATGGCTGTGAATACTCACATGTTGAATGGAGGTTTTGAGCAGTGCAGCTGAAATGCAAATACTGAGCCCTTCTTAAATAGATGGGTCCTCCGAGGGCATGCATTTAACCTTCAAGACTGAAGTCTGACCACTAGAAACTCCCCTTCCTGGGGCTTGGACTTGACAGTGGTCCTCTGGTCTTGGCAAATCTTTCTTGGAATACAGTGGAAGTGTTAACTTCTTGGTCATTTGGTTTTTTTTTTATTTATTTATTTATTTATTTATTTATTTATTTATTTATTTATTTATTTATTTTTAGAGGCATGTTATTTATTTATTTATTTATTTGTTTGTTTGTTTCGTTTATACATGCACTGGGTACAGTCAGAAGTGCGGGAGGGTGAAAGAATTCACCAGAGCCAGAACAGGGAGCAGAACAGGCAGAAGGACCGAAGTACACTGCTGAGGGGAGCAGCGGGCGGCAGGAGAGGTCTGCGCGCCATGTGGGACCCTCCTCTGGTGGCTGAGGAGCAGCCGGGGATCGAACCAGCACCGCAGAGGCCGCGGGCAGCTTCGCAACCCAGCGCTCAACTGCTGCGCCACCGGGGAGGCCCGGTCATTTGGTTTTATGTCTACTTGAAAAAATAGCCGCGAATATGGAGATTTCTAAAGAGCTTCTGTGTTTGCAGAGAGCAAGCCAGCCTCTCCTCCAAAGCACCATGAATCACCGCGACATCGCTAGACACCAGGCGTCCTCATCCGTGTTCTCCTGGCAGCAGGAAGCTACCCCCAGCCGCCTCTCCTCCAGTGCCCTGAAAACGCCCAGCGGGAGAGAATTCTCTGCATCTCACTTTTCTGCGGAGTGCGAGGGGACTCCGAGCAGATGGACTTTGCAAACAGGGAAGAGAGATACTAATAGTGGTTTCTGTGAGAATTCCAGCAATTCTCAACTTTTGGATCAATTAAAGGCCCAGAATCAAGGTAACTTCTTGACCTAATTTAGCTTAAATTTCCGTGAGGGTAATTTCAGACTTCATCAGTCCTGGAAAGTGCGGAGGAGTCAGTGGTCGCGTCCAGGTGGGGGTGGGGCTGTGTTCTTGATATTTCGAGGCCTTGCCACTGGGAATGTGTCTGTCTGCTGACAAGCTGGACAAGAAGTGCTAAACTGTCTTTTCAACAGGTTGGGGCTCCCCACGCTTCTTGGCCCCTCTGCATGTGGGGAACCAGCCTGTGGCCTGGCCCAGCCTGGCGGAGGTTGGGGGGAGGGGGTCGGCAAAACAGCCTGGCCCTGCGCTGCAGGCGTCTGTATGGGAGTGAACCTGTAACCTTGTCTGCTGCCCCTGCTGCTGCCGACGGCCAAGGGGACCAGGTGGTGCTTGGATCCTCTCTGCAGACTCTGATAATTTCCAGTGTGTGATATATTGAAAACCACCCTCCATGTTCATTGCTGAGGCCCAGCTTTCTGCCAATGCCTTTGGAACTGATACTGTGTGTGTGAGGAAAAAAAGGGAAAAAAAATGATTGTTAATCTTGGCAGTGTGGGAGGCTCACACGGTCTTGATCTTTAGTGGAGGTGAAGCGCCTAGAGAATGCGGGAGGCTTAGTTTTTCACTGCTCAGCTCTCATTTGCATCTATACGGGCACAAAACAAATATCAGCTTGGCAGTGTACAAACCCAGGCGGCGATTTTAACAAAGGGTGTGAGCGATGCTGCATTTTTGTTGCAGCCTCTATAAGGCTCACAATTTCAGAATAGCATTTTTCTCTCTCAAGTTTTCTGTGAAAATATAAGAAAATTTCTCCTGTTTTGATAGACTACTTGAATACAAATGAAAAAAGAGACTGAACATTGGCATGAAATCCTCTTAAAGCAGCTTGCGTTTAACGTGACTTGATGTTTGTCTCGCTGAGCACATCAGAGCTGGTACAGTGCTGAATGTAGTTGTAAATATTTTGCGAAAAACATGCATTAATCGAAGGCTATTTTTTGTTTGTGGTTGAAGAGTTATGGAGCAAGATTCAAGAGTTGGAGCTACGTCTACAAGGACAAGAAAAAGAGCTCAAAGGCCAAGGGAATAAATTCCAAGAACTCCACCTCCAACTGGAGAAAGCGAAAGTTCAATTAACTGAAAAAGAGAAAGTTTTGAATAAAAATAGGGATGAACTAGTGAGAACCACGGCCCAGTATGACCAGGCCTTCAGCAAGGTACGTGGCTTCTCACAGGTCAGTGACACGCCTCCATGTTCTGGGCGTTTTTTTTTTTTTTTTTTTTTTTAAAGATTTATTTATTTATGTATACAAGCACTGGGGTATAGGCCAGAGATGCAGGGGGTGAGAGGATTTACCAGAGACAGAGTGGGAAACAAAAAAGGCAGGCTGACTGAAATCCACTGCCGAGGGGAGCAGTGGGGAGGCAGGAGAAATCTGCTGCGCCGTGGGTGTCTCCCTGGCCAGGAATTGTACTCGTGCTGCCGCAGCTGCAGATTGCTTCATAGGTTGTGTCTTAAACCCTTGCGCCACCAGGGAGGCCCTCTGGGCAGTTCTTTGGGTAAAGTACTTAACCCTCACTCTGAGGACCTAAGTGTGGGAAACGGGCTGAGTCCCTTCACTAGCAGCTCTGAGGCAGTTGACCTGGGGAGTTCCTGTAGAGTTGGGTGGATCCAGGGTCAAGTTCAGACTGCCCTTCGCCTAACTGACTTTGGACAAGTCACTTACGCCCTTACCCTGCAGGGCCCTTTCCCTGGGGAGCTGGGGTCGGTGAGGAGTAAGATGGTGTATACGCGGCACCTGACCCATATACTGGAACTAGGGAAGAGTTTTAGGATCAAAGAAAGAATTTATCTCTGTCCTTTGGATCCAGTGTATCTGCTCCTGCCACTTAGTCTTCTTTAGGCTCTAGTCCAGGCCAAGCTACTCAGCCTGTTGGTTGAGGGTTTGTGTTGCTTTGGCCTGAACCATTCTCTTTTTCTAGGCCCGGTGTTGTTCTGCTCTTTGCCTTTCTCTCTGGCTCGTCCTCACTTGACGTCTTCTCCATCAGTGCAGTGGGGAAGCTAAGTTGATTTTCAAATATTTGAATGAGCCTTTGATCTTTGGAATAAACTGCTTGCTCACGATGTTTCTATAGTTTCCTGATTTGCTAATTGTCCCGGATTTGTGTGTGTTCACAAGAGATTGGTCTGCTGGTTTCGTTTTTTTGGTCCTGTCAGTTGTTTCATTAACCATGGTGTTAGTACTGATGCCCTTGTCACAAGCTTGTTGTCGAGACTGAGGTGACTCTTATAAAGGTGTTGCTGTGGCACCCGGTGTGCTGTGAACGTACGGTGATAATATTACACTGAGTTCCTTGTTATCATAGCTCATTTTCAGTTGAAAATGAGTGAGACTTTCCTGCATATGAGAATCCTACTTACCCTGCCGTGTGCACTGGCAGGGTCGGTGTGACGAGTCACGGGGTACCAGCTCTAGCTTAGCCAGGTGATGCAAGGCCTCACCAGGACCCCGCCCAGCACACTGCTCCCTGGCTTTCATGAGGCCCTCCCTCCCCTCCAGGCCCTAACCCAGCTTGTCTAGTGCTTTCTGGCTGCATTTTTCCCAGTGAGGGAATCTACCTAACTGAAAATTCAGTTCCCTTCTCTCCATCTTGCCTTGAGGGATGTTATTATGACCTTGTCAGATCTGTTGCTGAAATCAAGTTATCCTTGATTTGTGCCATTCCCTGATCTCCCATTGGAATCACCTGTTAAATGAAATGGGGATAATTTAACCAAAATCAATGCTGTATTTTTTTTTAAAGATTTTTTATTTATTTATACAAGAACTGGGGTTCAGGCCAGAGGCATGGGAGGGTGAGAGAATTTACCAGAGACAATGCAGGGAGCAGAACAAGCAGGCCGACCGAAGACACTGCTGAGGGGAGCAGCGGGCGAGGCAGGAGAGGTCTGCCACGCCATGTGGGTTTCTCTTTGGCTGGCCGGGAATTGAACCCTCGTTGCAGAGGCTGCGGACAGCTTCATAGCGCTGTGCTCAACCCGCTGCACCACCAGGGAGGCCCAAAGCTGTATTCTTTAGTGGGTATATGCTGTTTCTGGTATTTTCCTTTGTGAAGTGATTACTAGTGTGTGGTCCACGAGACTTGGCCTCAGGTGGAAGTAGGGTGGGGTGGCGAAGGGGGCTGGCAGCAAAACTGAGTGCATTACCAAAAGTGCTAAGAGCACCTTGTTTTCAAAATCTTGAGACCCAGACACATTTTTGGAGTATTCTGGAGCGATCCTGACACCTAGTGGTCATGTTCTCCTGGTGGATTGTTTGTCTCTTTCAGAATGTCTAGAAAAAATTAATAAAACTCAAATAGTACTAGTGGCCCCTTTTCTAAAGATTTATTTATTTATGAATACAAGAACTGGGGTAGAGGCTGGTGGCTCTTTTTTAACAGCCTACTGTCTCTCCAAGAAAGATGCCTCAGCTCTTGGGTCCTCTGTGGAATGTTGCAGTTTGGGGGAGGGGCAGCAGAGGGCGCCAAGTGTTGGAGCCTCTTTTTCCCTGAACTGTTCACCATCCCTAGGCTTTAGCTGGGACCCTCTGGGGCTTGCTCTGTTTGGTGCTTGTATCCCCGGCCAGCACAGGGCTGGGCAGAGAGTGGGCTCCCTATGAGTATTTGTTGAATTCATGTCCCCGCTTGATGAAGTGGCCTTATCATCTCAGTGGATTAAAGGGAGCCTGTGGCTCAGTATTTTACTTTTTGAATTTGGTATTTTTAATGTCCTGATATTTGCAGACTCATGTAACTCTTAATGACCATTTTGTTTTTTCACTTCTGGCTGCTTTGAAATTGGCCCCAGACTGGCCTTCCGGCAATGTCTCCCGTGGGGTTTTCTTTTTCCATTACTTCTCTGTTAAATTTCTAATATTTCTAATAGCTCTAGATGAGACTGTGAGTTTTAGGGTCATATGTTAGTAGGGAGAGTTGTCAAGTTGGGGCCCATCCTTCAGGCCCAGAGTTCTCCTGGACAACCCCAGGTCCTTAAGTTCTTCCTGGACTCGGCGCTGGGCAGGGTGGCTGTGGGGTCACCGCCACATGACGGGGAGATTCAGAGGGTGGGACCACCATGCCAAGATCTAAGACTGTTTCAGTTCAACTTCATTTTCCAAGAGCACCCTGCATTTTTTTTTTTTTTTTTGGTAAAGATTTTATTTATTTTTGCGTAAAAGAACTGGGGTCTAGGCCAGAGGTGTGGGTGGTGAGGACTCACCAGAGACAGTGGGGGACAGAACAGGCGGATCCACTGAAATACACTGCTGAGGGGAGCAGTGGGAGACAGGAGAGGTTTGCTGCGCCCTGTGGTAGGTCCCTAGACGGGGATTGAACTCAGGCCCTGGTGGTGATAGCCTGAGACTGAACTCCTAGACCACCAGGGAGGCCGCAAGCACCCTAAATTCTCATATAGTTTTAAGATTTATTTTAAAGATAGCTGGCTACATAAAAAAAGGTAAAAGTATATTCTTTGCATTGCTTATGGAAATTTGGTTAAAGTCCTTGCTGACGTTTTTGGAAAACTTAAGGTGTCATTGTGGCCACATAATGCAAAGAGGTATTACAGTACTTAAAATTTCCACAAAATTTCTATTATGCTTGAAGCAAATTACTCTCCGGATTGCGGGGTCCCCACATAATCAGGATGCCCTTGGTGTTGTGTGTTGGGCTTCACCCCCTGTAGCACAGGCTGGGTTGTCCTGAGTCTGTGGTTTTACAGTTTGGCTAATTTTTTTTTTTTAAATATATATTTATTTATTTATACAAGCACTGGGTACAGTCAGAAGCGCTGGAGGGTGAGAGAATTCACCAGAGCCAGAGGGGGGAGCAGAGCAGGCAGAAGGACCGAAGTACACTGCTGAGGGGAGCAGCAGGCGGCAGGAGAGGTCTGCGCGCCATGTGGGACCCTCCTCTGGTGGCCGGGGAGCAGCTGGGGATCGAACCGGCGCCGCAGAGGCTGTGGGCAGCTTCGCAACCCAGTGCTCAACCACTGTGCCACCGGGGAGGCCCTAATTTTTTTTTTTAAGATTTATTTTATTATGCATACAAGAACTGAGATCTAGGCCAGAGGTCTGTGGGGTGAGAGGATTCACCAGAGACAGAGTAGGGAACAGAACAGGCAGATCTACTGAAATACACTGCTGAGGGGAGCAGTGAGAGAGTCAGGAGAGTTCTGCTGCATCATGTGGATAGGTCCTTGGCTGGGAATTGAACTCTTGCTGCAGTGGCTGCGGATAGCTTCATAGGTTGCGTCTTAACCTCTTGTGCCACCAGGGAGGCCCCGAGTTTGGCTAATAGTTTTAAAGCAACTTTTTATGAAATAACAATGTGGAAACTCAGTGGTCACCTGGAACCAGGTGTTTGGCAGCCTTACTGGACCTCATGCGCTTGCATCCTCCTCTGCTAACTCTGTTCCGTGTGGCTTTGTGTCGCTAGTGCACTGCCTTGGAGCAGAAGCTGAAAAAGCTGACTGAAGATTTGAGTTGTCAGCGACAGAATGCAGAGAGTGCCCGCTGCTCCCTGGAACAGAGAAGCAAGGAGAAAGAGAAGGAGTTTCAGGAGGTAGGTGAGGGGCAGGAGGGGTTTGTCCGGGAGACTGAGGACACCCTGGGTGGGGAGCCACTGGACCGGATCACTGGTGTCCCGCCTCTGCAGCTCCCCAGCCTGGGGAGCCCACTCACCCTGCAGGGTGCGTGTCTCCGTCTCTGCTGTAGGAAAGCCCACTTTGGGGTGAGCTGAGTTGAGACCGTCAGCTCAGTTCTGTCCTCTTTTGCCCCCCCACCCCTCCCTGAGCATTAGCGGGGAGCTGGAGCCATTAGCCTGGCAGTGGGGGCACCTGGCCCGGCCTCCTGCTGTGGTGTCTGCTCTGACCGGACGCCGTGCTTTCCAGGAGCTCTTCCGGCAGCAACGGGCCTTGCAGTCGCTGGAGCAGGAGGGCACCCAGGTGAAGGCCAGACTGACACAGGAGCTGCAGCAAGCCAGGAGTGCCCATGATGCCCTGCAGGCCGACCTGGACCGAGTAGGTGAACCTCCCAACTCCCCAGCCCTTCCCTTTGCTCCTCCTGCCCTGCTGACCTGTGAGGGTGCCCTCACCCTGCTCGTGGGCCAGACCCAGGCCAGCCCTTGCTGGGCCTGGTCTCCTCCTTGAGAGAAGGGGCAGGGGGCGAGGGTCTGGGGTCTGAAGATGTGTGAGGCCTCTGTGTCCTGTGGTCTGGGCCCCGTGAGCAGGTGGGGCTGTCCCCATGCATTGCCTGGGGACTGCTCACCCTTGCTCTGCAGCCAGCTCTTGGGGAGCACCGGCTCGTAGCTCCTGGGGCGGCGGCTCCCTCTGCAGTCCCAGGGCCAGCTGCGTGCCCTGGCCTCTCCGTCTTCACACATCTGGTCCTCCTTATCCCAGCCAAGAGCAACTCCTTTCTTCAGGCTGCTCTGGCCCGGCCTCCTTGGCATCATCTCTCATGCCTCAGAGTAGCCATGGAGATGCACTGACTCTCCTGGGATTTTTAAATTTTGAAAGGCTTTTTTCCCTAATTGAAGTGCTGCTGGCTCAGAGCATTCTGTGGGTTTATGGCTGCATCATGCTTCTTACCAGGGGCGGTTCAGCCACCACTGTACAACGGCCCCTTTTGACATTTTTGCGTTAAGCCACAAAAATCTCTAGAGAGCAAATGTACAGCCGAGAATCATTAGAGGTGAGTTCTCTTGCACCATTATGTGTATCGAGCAGGATCTAATAGCTACGCCAGAAGCTGCCACACATCTCCTGCCCCTGCTACCTGCTCAGGCATCGAGTTGCACCACGTCCAGTGCTCTGTCCAGCCTCATCCTCACCGGTCACTTACAGTCTCCTGGTAGGGCTCCCTGCTTCTGTACTGGCTGCTGTTGGTCTGTCTTCAGTCAGTGGTGGAACTGAGACTTTATTTTATTTGTTTATTTATTTATTTATTTATTTATTTATTTATTTATTTATTTGTTCATGCATTCATTTATTTATTTTTAAAGATTTATGTATGAATACAAGCTGGGGTACAGGCCAGAGATGTGGGGGGTGAGAGAATTCACCAGAGACAGAGTGGGGAACAGAACAGGCAGAGTGACTGAAGTACACTGCTGAGGAGAGCAGCGGCGAGGCAGGAGAGGTCTGCTGCTCCATGTGGGTTGCTCCCTGGCCGGGCGGGGATGAAACTCACGCTTGCAGAGGCTGCGGATTGCTTTATAGTATAGTGCTTAACCCCTTGTGCCTGCAGGGCGGCCCGGGAGTGAGACTTTAGATGTGACTGGGTCACATCACCCCCGTCTCGGGTTGCTGCCTCCCGCCTCCCCTCTCATTGAGAGCCGGGCATTCCCAAGGGGCTGCAGCGTGTAGCCTGGCTGTCTATGGGCCCTGACCTCCGGCGTCTGCCCGAGCTCCTGTGAGGTGGCCACATGCCTCCTCCTCACCTGGAAAGGACGTGCGGGTCCCTGGCGCTCCTGGGGTGCCTGACCTTGCGTGCCCCAATGTGCACCCTCACTTTCTTGAGATTCCCACTCATGCGTCAGTGATGTCTTCCCAGATACTTTGTGTGCCCCCCTGCCCCCAAGTTTCCTCACTGGAGCCCATTGTCTGGCAGAAGTGCCATTGTGTCATCCTCCCTGGAGGAGAGAGGCCTGTGGGTGGCAGCCCGTGGCCCTTGGCCCCCAGCTCAGATGGTGCCTTGGGCCCACTCTGCTGTGGACTTGACCCTCTCTGCCTGAGGGGCTGACACATTTTAGAGTTTACCCTGAATGTCCAAGGAGGCAGGCACGGTTAGAGTGAGGTCTGTTTTCTTAGTGTTTTCCTTTTTGTTTATTTTCTAAAATGAAGGATTTCTCACTTAGGTAGAGGCTCTTATTTTATGAAGAATAGAGGTTAACACTCAAATTCAGAATGTGGCGGAGCAGGCTGTGTTGACTTTGGGTGAGGAGCTGGCATGGCTGACTTTGCTCTCTCAGCACAGGGCCCGTCCCCTGTGCTGGCCCCTGTCCATCTGTCCGTCCATCCACGTTCGGTAAAAAGAAAAACAAAAACCTCCTTTCCTGGGATAAACTGTTGTTACCTATTTAATGAGTGTCTTTCTGAGTCTTTACAAAAGTATTTGAAATGTATAATTGGGGCTTTTTGCTTCTGTTTTTTGTTTACAAGAGAACGTTCTGGTGGTGCCTGTGCCTTACTTTCATTGGCTGCGCTGCATTTATGAATCACTCCCAGGGGTGACAGTTAGGTCCTGACTATTGTGGTTCCCTTAACTGCTGCATCACCAGGCCGTGTCTGGCGAGCACCCCGGTTTCTGACGTGAAATCGATGACCTCAAAGCATCTGTATCCTGTAGTGGAGAGACGCTGCCAAATGGGCCTGGCCAAAAGCTGGTGCCCCCGCACTCCCCGCCTGATGGACAGGGTCCCGCCTGCCCTTTCGCAACGCAGGCCGTCCTGGCTTGCAGATGTTGCCAAGTTAGGAGTGAAAAATATCCTCCTGTTTTAATTCATTCTCCCTTGATTATCATTGAGGTTATTTCTTTCAGAAGTTGATTTGCCGTTTGCTTTTTTTTTTTTTTAAGATTTATTTATTTTTATACAACAACCGCGGTACAGGCTAGATGTGCGGGAGGGTGAGAGGATTCACCGGAGACAGAGTGGGGAACAGAACAGGCAGACTGAAGAAATACACTGCTGAGGGGAGCAGCGGGAGAGACAGGAGAGGTCTGCTTCACCATGTGGGATTCTCACTGGCCGGCCGGCATTGAACCTGCACTGCAGAGGCTGCGGACAGCTTCACGGTGCTGCGCTTAACCACCCGCGCCACCACGGAGGCCCACCATTTGCATTTTTGGTATAAGATTTTCTGTTTCTATTCTTTGCCCCTTTTTAGAATTGGTTTGCCTTTTTGTTAGTGAAATCATAGGCGTGGTTTGTTAGATTATTGATTTTTTTTTAAAAAGATTTATTTTATTTATATAAGTGCTGGGGTACAGGCCAGATGTGCAGGAGGGTGAGAGGATTCACCAGAGACAGAGCGGGTAACAACAGAACAGGCAGACTGACGAAATACATTGCCGAGGGGAGCAGTAGGCGAGACAGGAGAGGTCCGCCACGTCATGTGGGATTCTTGCCGGCTGGCCGGGATCAAACCCGTGCTGCAGAGGCTGCCAACAGCTTCACAGTGCGGCGCTCAACCGCCTGCACCACCAGGGAGGCCCTGATATATCTTTTTTAAAAAGATTTATTTATTTATGCAAGGGCTGAGGTGCAGGCCCAGAAGTGCAGGGGGTGCTGAGAGGATTCACCAGATACAGAGTGGGAAGCAGAACAGGCAGATGCACTGAAACACACTGCTGAGGGGAGCAGCGCCTAGACAGGAGATACTGCTGTGCCAAGTGGGTCAGCTCCCTAGCTGGGGATCGAACTTGTGCTGCAGAGGCTGCGAATAGCTTCTCAGCGTTGCCACCCCTTGCCCACCAGGGAGGCCTCTGTGGGCGTATCATTTTTTTTTTTTTTTTTTTGGTAATATATATTTTTGCTTTTATTATTACTCTTGATGTTTTATTTATTTTTTTTAATTTTATCTAAATTTTATTTTTATATTCCCCATACAATTACAACCCCCTTATTTTGACCCCAAGCCCTCCTTTCCCTGCCCCCACCCCCCATAGAGTGTCTCTGGTTCATAGTTGTTTGTTGATTTTGATATTTTCTTTCTTATAGTTATTCTTTTTCCTGGTCCCTTATTTAAGTTTTCTAGGTTCCTGCTATGAGTGAGACCATCCGGTATTTTTCTTTTTCTTTCTGGCTTATTTCGCTGAGCATGATCCCTTCCAGCTCCATCCATGTTGCTGCAAATTGCATGTGTTTATCTTTTTTGAATGCTGAGTAATATTCCAAGGTGTATATGTACCACATCTTCTTGATCCAGTCATCTATTTTTGGGCATTTGGGTCGTTTCCAAAGCTTAGCTATTGTAAATAGTGCTGCTATAAACATAGGGGTGCAGGTGCTCTTTGGAATTGATGTTTCTGTGTTCTTTGGGTAAATACCTAGGAGTGGAATGGCTGGATCATATGGAAGCTCTATGTTTAGTAGGTCCAGAAATCTCCACACAGCTCTCTCCATAGTGGTTGGACCAGTTTGCACTCCCACCAACAGTGCAGAAGAGTTCCTTTTTCTCCACAACCTCGCCAACATTTGTTGTTGCTAGTTTTTTAGAATGTGCCATTCTCACTTGTGTAAGATGGTATCTCATGGTAGTTTTGATTCGCATTTCCCTGATTACAAGTGATGTTGAACATTTTTTCATATGCCTGTTGGCCATTTATATTTCCTCTTCAGAGAAGTTTCTTTTTAGCTCTTCTGCCCAATTTTTGACTGGATTATTTTCTTTGTTTTTGTTGAGTCTCATCAGCTCTTTGTAGATTTTTGTGATCAGTCCTTTTTCATTAGTGTTGTGTGCAAAAATGTTCTCCCAGTTGGTGGGGTTTCTCTTTGTTTTTGTTATTGCCAGCTGTTTATCTTTGCTTTCACTATCACTGCTTTGGGTGATGTGTCTGTAAAGATGTCTTTGATGTGCATATCATGTAGTGTTACGCCTATATTTCCTTCTATGTATTTTATGGTTTCAGGTCTTATGTCTAGTTCTTTAATCCATTTTGAGTTGGTTTTTGTGCGTGGTGTTAGGTAGTAGTCAAGCTTCATTCTTTTGCATGTAGCGACCCAGTTTTCCCAGCACCATTTATTGAACAAACTTTCTTTGCTCCGATGCATATACTTTGCTCCTTTGTCAAAGATTAGTTGACCATAAATCTGTGGGTTATTTCTGGATTTTCTATTTGATTCCATTGGTCTGTGTGTCTGTTCTTGTGCCAATACCATACAGTTTTGATGATTATGGCTTTGTAGTAGAGTTTGAAGTCTGGGAGTCTGATGCTTCCATTCCCTTCTTTTTTTTCAGGAGCGCTTTGGCTGTTTGGGGTTTTTGGTGATTCCATATAAATTTCATCAATCATTGTTATA